GCCTATTAACATAACTATTTATATGAACTATTAACAATTATTAACATATTTTAGCCTTTATTTTACAGTTAAAATATATGTTTATTAAATAAAGTCTAATGTTAAACTAATCATGGTCCCCTTTAAAGAAATTAATGAGATTGCGTACATTTAAAACTGATTAACTTTTGGAGTCAGACAAATTAAAAATGGCCATAAGGTCAATCAACCTTAGCTGACACAAAAGTAGATTTAACTTGGTGAATTTTAAAAATATTTAGCTAAAATTTGGTGTGGTTAGTTGCTGAATGTCGTACCCAAAACATACTCTAAGCTCCATCATATGAGACTTATCTTTAAGGTTTGACTAGCATGACTCCTGTTTTGTTCTTTCTCAAGTTGGTCTAAAACTCGGGTAATTGGGCATTAATATTATTAGTTGGCTAATTTTATCATTTTCTTAAATAGAAAACATTGGTTTACTGGAGATCACCCTCTGCAGACTGTAACCGGAAGCTCTCTCCCTCCCTTTGTTTTGGGAAAACACAGACACTCAGTGACACAGGAGGCATGACGGCTCATTGTGGTGAGGACTGTGCCACCTGGTCCTCAGAAACCACTCAGGACTCCGAGGAGGTGGATGATCACAGCCTGGATCACCGCAGCAGCAGCACATCAGGTGTTTGCAGGTAATTTCCCAACATGCTGGTTAGTGCAGGAGGTGCAGTAAACAGAGGGTTGTAAAAAAAAATATGACATAGTTACATTCTTTGTAAAAAGAAAAGTAAACTTTACTTCATTTATTACTATATTTTAGGCAAAACTATTAGATGTTGAGTCATTTTAGTTCATTCATTTAAAACGGGTCTGTAGCTTTTACAACCATGTCTCTCACTAAGTAAAACGTAACCATCCATTCGTCTGTTCATTTTCTTGACCCACTTTTTCCTTTCCGAGTCGTGAGAGAGCTGGTGCCATCGGTCTACTACAGGGTGCACCCAGGACAGGTCCATCCCAGGACCCCATCACTCACAGTGACTCCACTGCTTCACTAAAA